GAAGCAGAGAAAACAAGAGGGCCAAGTATCTGAGGTGAAGAAGCACTGAGCATGACCCAGGAACTCAAGAGCATCAGGCTGGAACCTGGTGAGTGAGGAAGGGAGGGAGTAGAGGGTGAGGATGGAGAGTCACGAAGGGGCAGTAGGATGGCATGACTTTGTAGGCTGTGGTGAGAAGTTTGAGTGTTATTTAATGCAACATGAAGCCTGTGAACTCTTATTGTAAGCAGAGGAGTGACATTTGACATTTTTAACACAGCTCTTTCTCTCTGTCTGTCTGTGTGGGGAATGGATTCCAGCAGGGTGACCAACCAGTTAGAAGGTCACGGGTCAGTCAAGGGGATGGTGATGGTGGCTTCGGTGATAGTGGGAAGTGCAGATAGAAAGAAGTAAACAAGCCTCAACAAGCCTCGTCAGTGTGGCTCAGTGGTTAAGCACTGACCTATGAACCAGAGGTCACGGTTTGATTTTCTGTCAGGGCACATGCTTGGGTTGTGGGGTATGTAGGAGGCAGCTGATCAATGATTCTCTCTCATCAGTGATATTTCTCTCTCTCTCTCTCTCTCTCTCTCTCTCTCTCTCTCTCTCTCTCTCTCTTCTTTCCTCTTTGAAATCAATAAAAATATATTTTCTAAAAAAGGAAAGAAGTAAACAAATTTAAGCTATGTGTGCAGTAGAAATACTGGTGACTCATTATATGTAAGATTTGAAGGAAAGAGGAGTATCATTATAAGTTTTCAAATTTGCAAACAAATCTGATTTGTTCTCATGGACACACAATCCTAGTGAGATAGTGAGTAAAGGGGACCCGAGGGAGTCTTTTTCCCAGATGGAACTGGTCTAAATGAAGTCAGCTAAAGTCACAAGGAGCCTTAGTCTACATTCCCAGAGAAAGACAGCCTGGCTTCGGTCCAAACCAAGGACGTTCACTCTAAGAGAGGGTTCCAAGTGTCCAGAAAAAAATAAACAAAACAAAAAAGAGGCACCAGTATTTATGCTGCTGAAGAGGAGAGTGCAGGTCTGCAGTCTGGGGATCACAGCCCAAGTGAAACCCTAGCCCCTGGGTGTGAAATGCCCCAGTGCTGAACTCAGATCCCCCTTGCTGATTAGTCAGGGCAGCGGAAGGGACCTGTAATCCAATACTTCCAGCTCTCTCTGGAATCTCCTCGCTGGAAGGAAGGTGGATGATGACTTTATTCTCTGACCCCTTCCAGGATCCCGACAAACGCAGTTTTTTTAAATGTCAGTTTCACTTAATAAGGTTCACACAAAGTAGACGCCCCACAAGGCAAAACTCAGCTTTCCTAACACCTGCTGTGTACATCTGATTTCGTTCATATTAGCAGGTGAAAGGCACTAGGGACCCTCGGTCTTGATGGATCTGTGACAACATGGCTTGACTAACTGAGTAACCGAGTTATTACCCAAGGTGTTATATCTTTGTGCCTACGTTCTCTTATCTTTAGAAGTGACGGATTAGATCATATGTAACACATACATAAAATAATTTATCTGATTAATTTTGTTCCTGTAGATGGCAAACTAAGACCGAGCATTTGCATCTGACGCATCTTTGTACCCCATGAGAGCTGTGATGGCCATAAAGCATACAAGATTTATCTTAAGGAAGACTCAGATGTTGCCTTCAATTTTTTATTTATTTTTAATCTATTAATGTAGTCACTTGTGATAAATATCGATCAATGGTTAAGAAATATCAAACAACCAGTACATGAATAAATAAATGAGAAGAAACTAAAGGTGATACCTATGTCCTTTTTCAGTATTAAATGTTATAGTTTTATGGCAATCGTGGTTCATAAAAGGTCGTTTAGGAGTGAAAACCTTTACAGATAGAGTTGGGTTAGAAGCTATGTTCACTGCTTCCTGTGTATGGGTCCTGCATCAGTAAGAGCTGACCAGAATCCGAGTAAGCAGGCTCTAGACCAGACCTGTGGGTCCAGACCCCTTTGGGGGTCAAATGACCCTTTCACAGAGGTCACAGATATTTACATTACGATTCATAACAGTAGCAAAATTACAGTTATGAAGTAGCAACGAAAATAATTGTATGGTCAGGGTCACCACAACATGAGGAACCGTATTAAAGGGTCGCTGCATTAGGAAGGTTGAGAACCACTGCTTTAGACTCTAACGGAATTGTGACCTTGGGCAAGTGACATCACTTCTCCAAAGTTCAGTGTTTTTTTGTTTTTGTTTTTCCATGTGAAATCTGGAGATTATAAAAGAACTGATTTCAGAGAGGCACTGCAAGGATTAAATGAAAACACTTAGCATAGTTTCTGGATCATAATGAGTACTCTGCAAGCTTAAACCATCATTAACCGACTTACAGGTTATTATTTTACAAACTTTGGAGCCGAGTGACAGTGAAATCACCCTCCTGGGTCTCCATTGTCTCAGGGAGATAAAACCCTTCAGCATTTTAGCAGGAGCAGGCATTCAGAAGTAGGAGTTGAATACAGCAAAAAGGAATGATGTGGACGGCCAAAGAAACAGGTTAAAATCAAGTCAGCTGCAGAGTTTGGAGCTACCTATTGAGAAAATACATTTTACAATGTTCACTTTCACTTTACATTGTGCTTTTGTTTGTATTACTTTCATATTCCTCCAGCAAATCCTTGAGATAGATAATAGTATTTTTCTATCACTGTTGAGCAGTTTTAAAAAAATAAATAAGATTTTAGCCCTAGCCGGTTTGGCTCAGTGGCTAGAGCGTCAGCCTGCTGACTGAAAGGTCCCAGGTTCGATTCCGGTAAAGGGCATACACCTTGGGTTGTGGGCACATCCCCAGTGGGGGGTGTGCAGGAGGCAGCTGATCAATGTTTCTAACTCTCTATCCTTCTCCCTTCCTCTCTGAAATCAATAAAAATACATTTTCTAAAAAAAGGAAAGAAGTAAACAAATTCAAGCTATGTGGGCAGTAGAAATAATAAAAATTGTTGACTCATTATACGTGGGGTTTGAAGGAAAGAGAGGAGTAACATTTTCTAAAAAAGAAAAGAAGTAAACAAATTTTATAAATTAATAAAGTATTGATAAATCAATAAAATGTTGTATTTAAAAAATAAATAAGATTTTTTAAAAGTATTTTTTAAAATTCATTTTAAGGAGAGAAAGGGAGAGGAATAGAGAGTTTAAAACATGGATCAGCTGCCTCCTGCTGGGGATGTGCCCGCAATCCAAGGTACATGCCCTTAACCAGAATCAAACCTGGGACCTTTCAGCTCGCAGGCCGATGCTCTATCCACTAAGCCAAACTGGTTAGGGCAGAAATAAGACTTTAATAAATAAGTAAACTTCAATCAAAAAATAAAAAATTTAAAAAAATTAAAGCGATTTGCCTGTTCTTAAAGTGACTAGTACTCAGACTGCAAAGCTAGTTTTTATAATCATGACTCGATCCTGGGAATCCACTAACTAGTTCTATTCCATGAAAAACATGCCTAGAGAAAGTGAGAAGTACTGATCTTTACCAGATGTTTTATCCATGATACCATATATTTCAATCACTTCTCACTTCCTCGGTGCTCTGTAGCTTTTACTAGTAAATAAGAACAGATATGTTTTTAGTACTCCAATAAACACACACACACCATAACACTGATCAATCACTCAGTCATAACAGGGAGTTTGTGTATCCTCAAACTTACTACTCTAGGTCTTTTCTAGTTGTTTTTCAACTGTTGTTTACACTTTGGCCGGAACATTTTATGTCAGAGCTTTGATTACATGTTTAATGTTTACCTCATGAGTTACCTCCTCAATTCTAACTGGTTGCCCAACTTTTACCCCATTTTACAGATGAGGAAGCACGGGTTTCCAGAGTTTATTGGCACTAATGCGGTGTTATACTGTTTTGATGTTTGAACTATCTACTTTATTCAAAGCCAAGTACAATCTGGCCGTAAGAACTAAAGTAATAGCCAAGGGACTTGAGAGAACAAAAAGGTCCTTGAGTTGCAAAAAATTTAAATTTATGCAAAATGCAGAAATCCTTGGTGGATACAATAATAACTTTTATTTATTTTATTTTTAAAACCTTTGTTGTTGAGAGTATTATTCTCTCCCTTTGACCTCTTCTAACCACCCTCTTCCCCTCTCGCCCCCACCCCTCCTAGGCCTTCACCACACTATTATCTGTGTGCACAGGTTAGGCATATATGCATACAGTTCTTTTTGATCTCTTCCCACTCACCCCTCTTTCCCTCTGAGATTCCACAGTCTGTTCCATGCTTCTAGGTCTAGATCTTACAATAATCACTTTTAGATCATCGTTCGCCCTCTAGGCAGGCAAATTACCTTGTAGGTCCAATATACAGGGTGGTCCCCCCAAAATGTACACACACTTTGACAGATGACAGCTCAATTTTGAAAGCGAAATGTATTTTAATAAACATTACCTTTATAATTATTTGAACTGTGTGTATATGTATTTTGGGGGGATCCCCTATAGACTAGGTTTCTTAACCCCTTTTGTGGAATAAACCCCTTTGGTCTTCTGGAGAATCCCATAGGCCTCTTCTCAGAATAATGTTTTAAAATGCGTCACAGAAAGAATAGAAATTATATTGAAATATATAGTTCTAGCATAGGACCCCTGAGGTTTTCAAGGAGTATGGGATGGGTTACTCAGGGGATGTTTCTGAGGTGACGTTAGTGTCTTCCTTCTTCCTTCCGTCTATAAATAAGCCCCCATTTCCATAGACACCCTCCCCCCCAATCTTTCCCTAGCTGGATCCAGTTTTTCTCATTTTTTTAGCCACCTTCATCTCTTGCTTAGCCCCGCCCACTTTCCATAGCCACGCCCCTTCCCGGGGGCCGCTCCATTCTAGACTCCTCCCCCCACTAAGTCCCGCCTTCCCCTCGATTACTTCCCTGTTCCCTGCCAATCACACTGGGCCACCGCGCCCCGCCCCCGCCCCTCCATCCAGCCTTTGGACAGCCTCTCCCACGGCCGGAGCTGTGGCTGCGGAAGGATGGAGCCCGCGGTGGCCGGTGGCTTCTCCCCGGAGCAGTTCCGGGAGGCCTGTGCCGAGCTCCAGCAGCCCGCGCTGGCCGGGGCCGAGTGGCAGCTCATGATGGAGACCTTGGGCATCAGCATCTACCGGCTGCTGGACCAGGTAGCGGCCTGCCTGCTGCAGCACCGGACCGCGGGGCTGCCGCGTGCGTGCCAGGGCCAGCCTTCCCCTGGGGAACCCAGGGACTGCAGCCGCGCAAATCCGGACCCGGGCCTGCCTTCTGGACCTGGGAGGAGCGAGCGAGCCCTGGGGCGGCGCCTCCAGCTGACCTGGTCCAGTTTCTGGGAGTGGGGAGGTCATCAGAGTTCAGCCTTAGGTCTGAGGCCACACGGGGGTGTGGTCTGTTAGAAGTGAACTGTCCCGTGCAAACGTGGATCTGCTGATTCTTAGCCTCATGCACCTCCGTGTGGGTGCCAGGGGTGTGTGTGTGTGTGTGGGGGGGGATATCCTCGAGTTTGAATCTGGGTGGAAAAGAAAGGACTTTGCAGAGACTGGATGTGCAGGGTGGCTGGTGTGTGGGGAGAGGAGTGTCGCTGCTGGGGAGGGACTTACTATCAGCTCTAGCCATTCCAGGGACCTGCTTCTTTTGGCTTCTGCCCCTTCCTTGTAAGTTGCACTTAATAACTTTAGTCTGAAGCTTAGGAGGGAAAGATTCACCGAAGGCCTTGGAGGAATGGAGCTGGTTATTAAGCAGGCCTCCAGGCGTTCCTGCAGGCCTTTGGAACAAGTGGCCTTCCAGGTGGGAGGATCATATTGCACCTGAGCCCTGTCATCAGTTGCTCTGTGTAATAGCAGTTCATGACAGTAGGTTAAAGGTCATCCTCAGGCAAGGTAAGTGAAATCCGGGTTTCTTGGCAGAGGACCAGAGGATTATAGTGTGAGAGCAGGGAGGAGCAGCTCTGGATGTCTTGCTACATACATCGCTAAGTGTAGCAAGGTGAGCAAGTTCAAGGTCTAGAGCAGACAGAATTCATACCTTGGTGCAAAATTGGACAGGTTTTCAGACAAGATCCATTTATCTTCTCTCTGATTATTCCATTTTCCTTTACCAGCCACATCCGGGCATTTGCCAAGGTGTGTGCATTCGATTGTTGAGACATATCTGACATCGGGCCCATTTCCCTCCCCTTTACCTTCCTACATGTTTGTCACTATACAGGGCACTTCTCACCTAGAATTTCAGTGACCTCTTAACTAGTTCCCAGCTTTCCATCCTACACACGACAGTCCAAACACCCAAGAGGCTATGATCTTATCACTCCCATTTCAGTGGCATTGCTGATTGCAGAATTAATAATAACTGTTGTAATAGCGAATACATTTTGTCTTTCTTATGTTCCAAGCACTGTTTTAGTCCTTGCAGGTACTTATTCCTCACATCATATCTAATGTTAGGTGTTATGTTTATACTTTAAAAAAAAACTGTATGGAAATGAATCTATGGAAATGTTAAGTTGCTTGTTCAAGATTTGAACTGGAATCCGAACTCAGCTGTCTTGCTGTCATAAATATGCTTCCATAGCGCCTCTCTGAAGCAAGGCAAATGTTGCCCACAGGTTATCCTGAACTAGCTGAACTAATTTGGTCTTTAAAAAAAATGTTATTATTATATTTTAATTTTTATTTTTGAAAGCATTACATATGACCCCTTTCCCCACATGGACCTCTTCCAACCCTCCCTCTCAAGGCCTTCACCATAAACTAGTTTGGTCTTAACTCATATTTGAACTAGTTTAGTCTTAATTCATCTTTCCAGCTTTATCTCCCATAACTCACGCATACTGCTCCTGTCCTCTAGCCACCCATACTCCTTGCCTTTGTGGTCGGCAAACTGTGGTTCGCGAACCACATGCAGCTCTTTGGCCTCTTGAGTGTGTGCCTCTTCCACAAAATACCACAGCCTGGGCGAGTTTATTTTGAAGAAGTGGTGTTAGAAGAAATTTAAAAGATTTGGCTCTCAAAAGAAATTTCTCTTTTTAAAAATATATTTTATTGATTTTCTACAAAGAGTAAGGGAGAGGGATAGAGAGCTAGAAACATAGATCAGCTGCCTCCTGCACACCCCTCACTGGGGATGTGCCCACAATCAAGGTACATGCCCTTGACCGGAATCGAACCTCAGACCTTTCAGTCTGCAGGCCAACTCTCTATCCACTGAGCTAGACTGGTTTTGGCTCAAAAGAAATTTCAATCTTACTGTTGATATTTGGCTCGATTCCTAATGAGTTCATCAACCACTGCCTTACCCCATGGGCCTGTGCCTTTTTTCTTTTGTATCTTTTATCCCATAGTATCCATTGCCTGTAAGCTGAGGTAGAGTGACTGGCTTTGTATTGTGTATTGTTTCTGTTGTGTATTGTTATGTAGCAGGGACCACTTCTGTCCTGTAGGGGGGGGGGGCGTGAGTGGTATTTAGACAGTTCCTATCCCTACTAACCGTTCTATATGTCATACTCCCACCTGTTCTGGGGATGAAGACAGTCCTGGCACATTGATGTAAATTAGTGAGCTTTCACAAGTTTGGAGGATCCTAAGATTCCCCTAGGCGTGCCATTGAGCCTCAGCGGACAGGATGGAGGGCCATTGCCCCTGGCCATGTTGACCTCCATCTGTACTGAAATGTGGAGGCCCTATTGGCTCAGGCTACACACCTGCTCCTTCCTAGAACCCTTACTGGCCTTCAGCATCACCCAGCATGACTGGCTGCCTGGCCCACTTTGCTGAAGCCTCATTTATTTTCCAGGTTGACGCCCATCCTGTACCTCCCTCCTGCAAGAGAATTCCTTCCAAGCTTTAGTTAGTATATCTTTTTTTATGAACACCCAGAGACTTGGGGTTGTTGTGTTTTCATTTCCATTTGTCTCAAGGTATGTTTTGATTTTTCCCTTCATCTCATTAACTCATTCATTGTTTAGTATAAATGTTATTTAGCCTCCATGTGTTTGTGTGTTTTTCAATTTTTTCTTCTTATAATGAAGTTCTTGTTGCATGCCATTGGGGTTCGATAAGATGCTTGATATACTTTCAGATTATATTTACTGATAATGTCCCAATAACCCACCACCGGCCCAGTTTACACCTATTGTCCCCGGAGAAAATTTTTACAACTGCCACTCTCCAAAGTGTGCCAGCTGGAATGGTAAATTATAGGGTGACCCTATATATAGCCACTGGCACTCAGACCGCATATGACTTATCTAATGATGTGTTCGGAGAGTGCCGAGACCATGGAGTCTGCTGTCAGAGCACTGGCTTCATGCCCATGTTCGGCCTTCATTAGTTGAGTGACCTTCCGTGAGTTTTATAAACTCTTATTAATGGAGGGGTCATTTATTGATATATCATTTACAGACAATAAAATCCACTAATTTAAGTACAATTAAGCGATTTTTAGTAAATGTATGTAATAATGCCACCTTCACCACCATCTAATGTTGGAAGAGTTGTGTTGCTTTCACAGGAAACCTCTTGCTCATTTGCAGTCACCTTGTTCCCACTCCCAGCCACCAGTCTACCTCCTGTCTCTACCTTTTCTCAAAAGGTTTGCCTTTCCCTGGTTATTTCTCACAACTTCTCTAAGTCCCCATTTCTCTGTCTGAAGAATTGGTATATCTCCTGTTATTCCCATGCATTAAGTGGGCTAATCCAGCGGTCGGCAAACTTATTAGTCAACAGAGCCAAATATCAACAGGACAATGATTGACATTTCTTTTGAGAGCCAAATTTTTTATTTTTATTTATTTAAAAAATATATATTTTATTGATTTTTTTACAGAGAGGAAAGGAGAGGGATAGAGAGTTAGAAACATCGATGAGAGAGAAACATGGATCAGCTGCCTCCTGCACACCCCTTACTGGGGATGTGCCTGCAACCCAGATACGTGCCCTTCCGGAATCAAACCCGGGACCTTTCAGTCTGCAGGCCGATGCTCTATCCGCTGAGCCAAACTGGTTTCTTTTGAGAGCCAAATTTTTAAAACTTAAACTTTTTCTAACACTACTTCTTCAAAATAGACTCACCCAGGCCGTAGTATTTTGTGGAAGAGCCACATTCAAGGGGACAAAGAGCTGCATGTGGCTCATGAGCCGCAGTTTGCCGACCACGGGGCTAACCCATGTGAAGCATTCAGCCCAGTGTGTGTGGTATTTAGTTAGCTACCTCTCATGATCATTCTATATAGCTATCTGCAATCCTAAGAGATGAAACCTACCTTGCTTCCTTAGATCTAAACCAGTGAATCAGACTTAGCTCACCGTCTCCATGCAGTCTTGGTGCACATTTCCCAGTGGCAGCTGTAGCTTTGGCTCTTGCCATCAGAACTGGCTTTCTCTGGTGAGAAATGCTCACTTTTCCTACCATCTGAGTCTGTTGCTTGCCAGAGTGGCTGGCGTTGGACAGCTTCACAGCCGTAGGCATTATCCCTGAGGAATAGGAATGAGCTCTTCTGTGAAAAGCAAAGAAAACCCAGTGCACAGCACAGGGTGTGCTCACAGGATTAGGGAAATGGGATTCATCAAAGCTGTCTGGAAGTTAGTGATGTACATGTAGATAAACACCATAAATTGAAGAGAACGAGTGAGGTCGGTGGAGGGGTGGGTAGAGGGGCTGGGGGTCCACCAGGGATTGATTCTCCACAATGTCAAATGCAAACATTGTGACATTTTGATGTTTCTCATGTATACACATGTTAGCTCTTACAGAATTTATTATGCTTAGGATAAATACGTGTACCGTTATTGGCAGTTCTGTTCCTCAACATATGTTAACCCTGTGAATGCAAGTGAAAAGAAATGGAACAGTTTTCTTGCATTCATTTGAATAACCGTTGCTAAAAAATGTAGCAGCTTGCCTGGCCAGTGTGGCTCAGTAGCTGTATCAACCTATGAACCAAGAGGTCATGATTCAATTCCCAGTCAGGGCACATGCCTGGGTTGTGGGCTCAAACCCCAGTGTTGGGCATACAGGAGGCAGCCGATCAATATTCTCTCTCATCATTGATATTTCTCTCTCTCCTCTCTTCCCTTCCTCTCTGAAATCAATAAGAATATATTTTTACAAAAGAAAGAAAGAAATGTAGCAGCTTGATATGGAGACCAGTTAG